ATAACAAAAACCCACCCACCTTAAACCACCACCAAAAACCACCACATCCCACGAATTGGATTTAAAAAACCTAGAAAAATTCGATCTAAAAAACCCAGAAAAATTCAATTTAAAAAACCCAGATAAATTTGTTTTTTAACCAGAAAAACCAAGAAGAAATCGAATAAAATCGATTAAGATCAATAAAGATCGAATTTAAATCGATTAAAATCAAATTAAAATCGAATTAAAATCGATTAAAATCAAACACTAACCTCGATTAAAGTCGATTTTGCTCATGCATGTGTTCGTGGTGTTATTGTAGCAGTGGTGGTGTTATGTTGCGGTGGTGGTGGAAAAATTTTTGGTGGGAAAATTGGTGGTGGTCGTGGTGGTGAGGGTGGATAAATTGATGGTGGTCGTGGAGATCGAAGAATAAATTGGTGGTGGTGGCGGTGGTTCGTGGTGGTGGTGGTGAGATGACACTACAAGAAAAAGGTCGAATTCCGACGGACATGAAAATCCGCCGGAAAATACAAATTTTCGACGGAATTTAAGTCCGTAGGAAATTTCCGACGGATTTGGAATTTCCGTCGGAAATTTCCGACGGACTTAAATTTCGTTGGAAAATTTTTAATTTCCGACGGATTTTATTCCGTAGGAAATTTCCTACGGATTAATCCGTCGGAAATTAAGTGATTTCCGACGGAATTAAGCCCGTCGAAAAATTTCTGACGGAATTGCAAGTGTTAACGACGGAATTTAAATTTTAAAAATTAAAAAAAAATTCTCAACCCTAATTAAACAGCTAGTAGCCGCCCTTACCCTTCATTTCTCTTTCCTCTCTTTCTCTCTCCTCCCCTCATTCTTCCTGTTCTCCTTCCCCCTCATCTTCTCTTCTTCTCCGCCCCTTATTCTTTCCCCTCATTCTCACCGTTCCTCCTTCTTCCTCCTCTTCTCTCTTCTGTTTTCTTCTCTCTTCGTTCCCCTTTCCTCCTTTTTTCCCTCTTTCTATCTCACACCAACAACCGCCACAAACATCAAGAATACCACCCACCAGAGCTTCCACGCCGACGATTTTACCACACACCGTCTCTCCTTTGATTTTTTTTTTCATATTTTAAAGGTTTCTTAAGGCCAAATTCGACCATTAAAAGCCTAGATCTAGACTTTTTGTGGGCGAATTTGGCCTTGTTAAACCGTTTCCGAGGTGAAATTCGAAGCATAATTTTCAATTTAAGGTATGTTTTAAATTTTCGATTTTGTTTCTGAGTTTTTTTTTTTTTTTGGTTTTCGGGGTTGTTTTCAGTTTAGTGGGTGCAGATTTGGGTTAGGGTGTTTCGGTGGGTTCAGATCTGGGCGCGTCGTGGTCTAGGAGGTGGTGGTGGGTGCCGGTTTGGGTCTGGGTTAGGTTTGGTTAGAGTTTGGTGGTTTCTGGGTTAGGTTTAGTGGTTTCTGGGTAAGGTTTGGTGGTTGTATGGTGGCGGTGGTGGTGATCTGATGTGGTTGGTGGTGGTGATGCGGTTTTGAAGTTGGTTTGGTTGGGGTTGACAGGGGGTTTTTGGGTGGTTGGAGGTGGTGATACGCCGTGCCGGTGGTGGCACGGCGTATTTTTTTAATTTCCCGAAAATATTTTTCGACGGAATTCCCGTCGAAAAATTCCGACCGAAATGTAAAATCTGTCGGAAATTTCCGACGGAATTTGCCGGTGCCGGAAATTGCCTTACGACGGAAAATTCCGTCGGAAGAGTGTTTCCGACGGAATTTCGGTCGGAAGAGGTGGTTTTTCCTACCACGGTGTTTCCGACAACCACTTCCGACGGAATTCCGTCGGAAACCCCTTTTCTGACGGAATTCAGGGTGTTTCCGACAGAATTTTTCCGTCTGAAATGGGCTGTTTTCTAGTAGTGCGAGACGAGGGAGAGGAGATAGAAGGAGAGACGAGGGAGAGGAAAGGAGAGATAAGAGGACGGCGGTGAGACCGAGAGATGGAGAGGAGAGACGGAGAGTTGAGAGGAGAGAGGAGAGATCGAGAATGGAGAGGAGAGAGGAGAGAGCAGGCTGCGTGAATGGAGAGGAGAGATGGAGAATGGAGAGGAGAGAGGAGGCTGAGTGAATGGGCTGGGTAGGGTTAGGGGGTTTATATATGGGTGGTTTTTTTTTTAATAATAAAAGGCCACCGGTTTGAACCGGTGGGAATAATGGGTTTCCCACCGATTTGGTTTGAACCGGTGGCAAAAATCACCCATCAAAATCCTGCCTATTTTTCTCCCTATTTTCCCCACCGGTTTTTGAAAACCGGTGGCCTTAGGGCGGTGCCAATCTTATTTTTTCACCTAATGTCGCCTCCTCCGCTTTCAAACAAAGCAAATCATTAATTTCGATTAATTCATGATTGTTTTATGCAATTAATGTGAATTCCTGATTTTGATTTTGAGCTGGAAAAAAGGAGGAGCATAGATAAGAATGGCAATGGGGCGGGTCGGATGCGAATGATGGTACCTCCATACCCATACCCGCCTAAAACTCTTTATACCCATCCCCCCCACCCGTGGCGGGTATAATATCCACATCCATACTCGCCCCACCAGGTACAAGATAGGATCCATTCCCGCCCCATCACCCACTTGGATATTCATACTCACCTCATACCCGCCCCAAATCGTCCCAAACCCTTTGCCATGATGCTCTATTGTATCACATTAATGATGATTATATCAAATTAGATTAAGAAAATTGAGACTTTCACTATTCAAGCTTATTGGGTCTTAGGGTATCAAGTTTCATAAATTCTCAACTCTTCTAAAAGAAATATGGTGCGGGTCTACTCTAAAATCTATGTCCGCATCATCACCCATGGCGGGTACACATTTTATACCCATCCCCGCCCCACCACCCGCCAAACCACCCTCCATCCACGCCCCACTTGGGCGGGAATGGGGCGGGGTGTCCCATTTAACCCGACCCACTGCCATCCCTAAGCAGAGAGAAAGAGAAGGAGGGAGAATGAGAAAGGAAGAGTGCACCCAATAGTTTGTGTAACATAATCAATTTGGGAGGAAGGAACATTGTGTGAGCTGCGAACCAACAAAGAGTGTAATGTTATTGTTTCAATAAGTGAAATAAGGTTATGATCGAAGACTTTGATGCCATATAAGATTACATAATAGGGGTTAGGTATTAAGAAGGAAAACAAATAGATCATGAGAAGAGGATTTATTTTATTTTTATTTATTTATTTATTTTGACCAACATGAGTAGTGGATTTTATATTTTGTTAAGAATACTACTTCCTCCGTTCTTTTATCATTGCGCCATAGAGGTTGACACACTTTTTTATTAGTAGTGGCCTGGAAAAAGGGAAGAGAGAAGGGTAAAATTACAAATTAAAGTTTTCCATGTAATGTAAGCCTAAACTAATGAATCAATATTCAAGTGGTAAAAGTAAGTGTATATTGGGTATTTGTAATGTGAATATGGATATTTTGTTTCCTAAAATAAAAATGGTGCAATTTTTGTGAAACTTCCTTAAAAGACAAGTGGTGCAATAAATAAAAAACGGAGGAAGTATATTAATCCATAATTGACTTTGGTATGGCTGTTGGGACGGGGTCACATTGAGGCAAGTGGGCTCACTTGGACCCACTTGGATTAAATTTATTTATTTTTTGTTTTTTTTTAAGAAAAATAATATTTTTTATTTTTTTGTTTTCTATGTGAACTTATGTTTAAACACTTTAAAAATTAAAAAAAAAAAAAAAAAAAAAAAAAAAAATTCACTTTATAATATTTGAACCCATGTAACAATATACAAAGTACTAGTATTTGGTTTTATCATTTGTTGTTCTATATTATATTATTCTATATTAATCTGCCAATTATGCATTAGCAACAAGTTCCGTGGGTTTCATTATTATTTGTAAAGATAATCTAGTAAAATTCATTTGTTATTCTTTTGCTAAAGGGTTTCATTATTATTTGTAAAGATAATCTAGTAAAATTCATTTGTTATTCTTTTGCATTAGCATGTATTTTTTACAAATTATGATGAGATGAATCTTATTTTGGCCATAATAGGATGTAGTTTGATAGCTAAGTCCAAAAGTCGTCATTTGTGATATTGGACGCGAACGTCTTTGACTTGGTTTTACGCATGGAACAAGTTAGACCATTATGCATGGCAGATGATGCACAACTAGACTAACAAGTAGCAACTTTCTCAATCAAGTGTGGAATTAATCAAACAGTACGATTTTCTATAGCTGTTAGCTGTGAAAAAAAGATAATTTAGTTATGATTGTTCGGTAAAGTAGTGGTTGACTAGCTGTTACGTTTAAGAATCAATATTTTATTTTTAAAACTATACATTAAATTTTCAAAAGCTACCTCTAACTTCAAAAGCTAATAATCCTAGCTTTTAATAAAAGTTACCTCCACCACTAAAAGCTACTTGAACCATTACTTTGCCAAACACTCATTTTTTTTGTTGAGTAGTGGTTTGACTTGGTCAAACCACTAAAAGCTACCTAAAAGCTAGCGCCGGACACGCCCAATAAAAATGACATACAAACAATCATTTTCAAATAATAACTAACCGTATAGTTTTTAGTAATAAGTTTCCGGTCAAAGTATATTTTGAGGGAAAGTTTTCGGTCAAAGTAAGTATGGTATACAGAGTAATAATAAAAACAAATCCTCTTTATTAATAAGGAAAATTTGCAAATTACAACCATTTAAAGTTCGTATTTTGCAAATTGCAGTCATTTAAAAAAACTTGTAAATTGCAGCCCAAAAGTTCGTATAACTTGTAAATTGCAATTCGATTCATTTTTTTTTTATCGGTTTACGTGTCAAAAAATCTTTGATTAAAATTATAGGGCCCATTTTAACTCCTTAGAGACCCAAATTGAGTTCGGAATTAGAAAAAAAAAAAATAACACAAGTGCATCGTTTTGCGTAACAAAAATATATCGATTTGTGGAAAACTGTAAAAATGACACTTACGGAAAATAAAACAAGCGCGAGCTTATATTCGGGCAAAATTATTCAAATTGGGTTGGGCGGTCACTCTTGCTAAAATACACAACATCATTTTCTCTTCACTGTGTTCTTCAATCTTACATACTCTGAATTCTCCATTGAAGTAGATTTTGAGCTTTCTCTCCTCCATTGAAGCAGCTTCTGAGGTAAGACTTTATTTTATCGAAACATCGAATATCAATTTCACAATCTAGGTTAATCGTCAATTTTTTCAAATTAGGGTTCTTTCAAGGTGGATTGATTTTGAACTATATGTTTGTTATAATTTATTCATTCTAAGTTTAACGTTTTTCTATTCATTTATTACATTCTAAAGCGAGAATAAATTAATTTCATAAACTGCTGCAAAACGAAACCATTTAATCTTCCAATTGTGATTGTAAAATTCCAAAATCGAATCAAACAATATGGTGAATTGATAATTCTGGAAATTTGAAGTCTTGTTCGTGGGTAATCTAGGTTGAAGAGAAATGGAACCTTGAATTTTCAATTTGCATTTTTTTAGAAGCACTATAATTAGTTTTAGGTATTGTTATAACGTGTATCAATTTCAGGATAAGCTCTAATGGAGGGTACAGAGATTTATGGTAGAAGGGGTAGCCAGCTTGTGAAAGAGCTTGCTTGTGCCGAACCGGGTCAACTTACTCGATTCAATGTGAGCTTTCTCCTTTATATGAAGTACTTGTTTGTGGATAATCACCCTTGTTCAATCTATATTTGGCTTCCCATTTGTATTAGGCAAGGAAATTAAGAGTAGATGTTAAATTCGGAATTGAAATACCGAAAGAGAATGGAGAGAAATTGTTAGATTAAATGTAGAAATGAAGATAGAAAAAAAAAGTTGGTAAAATTGCTTTGCCCTTCATTAATTTTGTTCTTGTGTTCACCAGGATGATTTGTTTAATCAAGTTATCAAAGAATGTGCTGTGCACTACAGTCAATTTTACGAACTTACTAGGTAAGTCCCTTTGGTTTTCGTTAAGTTTTGATTTCAATTTCCTTAAGGTTTTGCTCCTCGGCACATTCTTGCCATGCTTCTTTATTCCCTTCAGCAATTGAACAAGCCATTCATCTGTTTCTGCATAACTGAACTGTCATTAAACAACTACTGTACTGATGCTGTCCCAGAAGCTATGCGATTTTCTGTTGAGTTTGAGAAACATCTCATCGGCCCTCTTATGTATTTATCCTTCCCAAACTTTTCGATAATCCATTCAACTGGATGACAAGTACCATAATTTAGCTTGTTCAATGTATATGCTAGCTTTGATTATCTCCAGTGGTTTCCATTGCAACATATTATGTATAATCATCCTCCATTCTCAAATAGTTGCCTAGCTTGAAATTGCTACTCGCAATGCTTTGTTACAGATTTAAGTAATTTGGGATACTTATTTTAGGCAGTCTATACTAATTTATTCTTTGCCCTATTTTTGGGATTAAGGCTTTGATTGTTGTTATTGTTTACACTTGTTTATTCTTGTGAGCTTTTGTGTACCGATGAACCTGATCTTTTGGCAGGAAAATGCAAGATGAAGGATTGGATGTCCAATCAGCTAGAAATGCTGATCACTTTGGAATGCTTATCCATCATCTTTCTCTATTACGCAACAAGCGTTGCCTAATGGCATATGTGTAAGTAATAGCTTACGATCCTGTTCACACTTGATGTTTAGCTATCCTGCCAATCATTTGTTTTCTCAACTATTGGTTTCTGAAATATGCAGGCATAACCGATCTGAAATTATACAGAACCTAAGCTGGACTGTTGGGCGGGTGCTTCCTGAAGAAATTGAGCAAAAGCTAAGTGATCCAGAAAAGCGTTACTTTAAGAGCCACTCTTCAGCTTTACAATCGTATATGAGGGACATGGATGGCCTTGATTTGACTGTGGTACGCATCCATTCTTCTTTCTTCCCATCTTCTACTCATCATTTTCTCGCTTAGGACTGCAAAATCTGAACATTCCTCCTTCACATGAACTCTCAAGAAGTTGTAGATACTAAAATTGTGGGTTTCTGTGGCAGGATATGGTGCCACCAAAAGATCCCTACATTAAAGTAAGAGTCCTTGATGATATTGGTGTGACAGCAATGGGAGACCGAGATACCAATCTTGCACGCCACTCAATCCACTTCCTCAAACGAAGTGATGCTGAGCATTACATGTTTCAGGTAGATGGACAGTAGACAACCTTTTTTGTTGGTTTTAAACATTTTGTATCTAGAGAGAATAACTGAACTTAAAATCTTGTTTTGTAAACATGGGATGATGGAAGAACTCTTAGGGTGATATAAAATGTGCAGTCTCATAGTCTCTTCATATATGCTCTACTGTGCTAATCCGTGTCTCATGGTCTCATGATATACGCTAGTGTGCTGCTCAGTATGCTGTTAGTTTCAAGATCATCATGTTCAGTTGTTTGGCTGTGACTGGGCAGAAGACTCAACTGTCTTTAAAGGACGCATATCCGGGCAAAAATGCAAGCAAAAGCTGCCAGAGCATGAGGTCTGTGGTTTAACTGTGCAGCAGTGCAGGACCTGTAAACTCTGATGTTTTCCTCCTGTTATTTATCTAGGATTGTAATTATTTTTTTTTTGAGGCCATCTAGGATTGTAATTTGTAACTAGCATATTCCTTTTAAAAACCAATAGAAATAAAAAAAACTTTTATAAGCAATTTTTATTGATTACTGTATCCAGCTGTGGATGATAATAAATTTTGTTTGATGAATTGATAAGTAATAGCTGAGATGCTCTCTGCTGTTTGTCATTTGAGTAGCTGTAGATTTGATATGTTTATTGACAAGTCGTACAATTCTTACCTTAAGTCCTTAACTCCTCCAAATCACTTGTTTTTATAAGATGGTTATCAACAAAATTTGGTTTTTTTAAGATGGTTTTCAACAAATTTTCCTTTATTTAAGGTAAGGAAGACCCTAATCAGTGTGGGCCATGCACTTGAGAGTATAGAGGAGGGCAAGGGAATTTTTACTTTCTACTCCCCAAGGTCCAAGTACCATCACTTGGTAGGATTCCAATTCAAGTACCCTTATCTGGTAAGATTCGAATTCTAAACCTCTAGGATTTGAGATAAGAACAATACCAAGTGAGCCAATATTTTGTTGATAAACTATTTATAATATTTGAGTAAATCACAATATAACAGAATATCCATAATCTATGAACAAAGTGTTCACCGAATTGTGTTTTGCGTTCATTTAGAACCATAATATGCATCAGAATTTCAATTATGATATGAGTTTAAAGTAATTTGCAATTTTGCAATTTCATTTACGTAGTATAATATTATCTCATCTCTGATTCACCTTAACTTTTCTCTTTCAAATCTTTTAATCATATCCGAGTAATTTGACATTAGTAACACGTTTCAGATTTCCAAGCCCGTGCAACCACACAAGTTTTTTGTGGGATAAAGTGATTGTTATTTTGGGAATTTCCTCGTGTCATAACTTGAAGCCTAATTCTTTCCCTTTCCCGAAAGGAAAGCAAACATGTAAGTTCAAATTTGCACTCTTTCAAATTACCGAGTTTGTTACTCGTGTAACACCTTTCTCATCACTTAAGATTACAAATTTCATCCATTCTTTAGTTGACACAATTTAATTTTAGCACTATTCAACATTTACACAAACTTGGCCGAATTATATTATCCGTATCTATGAAAAATATATTCACATGAAATCTTGTTAATAAAATATTACTCCGTAAGTTTTTATAATATTTCCTCTCAAATATGCATTACTCCGTATCAAACTTAACTAAAAGAACGTGTCAACTAATAAAGAGCGACATATGTATAGTTTTTCCACTTTTGAAAAGCAGCGCATCAATAAAATTAATGACGTGACTATTTGAATGGGCGACACTCAGTTGAGCTTCAACGTACACAGCAACAACAAATGAGAGCCACTAAAAACGACCCACCGAAAGTAGTTAACATTATCTGTTTATCTCATACAAGGCAAGGAACACTGGGAACTTTCTCCATGCGATTTGTTGCATCATTTTCATCAGAACTCATTTAATTCAGACCAGTAAATACACATTCCAAAATCATAGAGAACTTATAAGATAGAATGGCATTGCAGCAACCCTACCATTACCTTACAACATCGTCCAACCGCAACCGAATATATCTTACTCAATCATCCGGTGACAAGAAAGGGAGGGGCACCCAGTATTCACCTGCCGAGCAATTTGCACCACTCGCATCAACGTTCCAACGGCGGCTCGTGATAGGCATTGGGTCAGCTTCTTTTGTAGCTATTGGTGCTAATTTCGGAGGAATCACGAGCTTTCTCCTCGGACTTTCACCGGATACTGGGCGTAATCTCAAGCTAGATGTGCTTTATCCAATAGGAGGATATAGTCGCTGCATTCAGCCAGATGAAGGATTTGGTTAGCAAGTTCATGTCATACATACAATCTATATATTATTTGAAGCAACTATATATATGAACATATATTTAAATTGTTGTCAAACTGATTGTTGAATTTTTTTTTTTTTTTTTATTATTATTATTTTTTTTTTCTGGACAAAAACAGAGTTAATCTATCCAGCTACATGGGTGGCAGACCAAACATTATTCTATCGAGCAGCAGAACGGGCAGAACAGGAGAGATCACTCGACCCCCCTCCACTCAATTCTGATAGACGTCACAAAAGGAATGTGAATGAACCAGTCGTCGCCTTTGGTCCTCCTGGCTCGACTGGTGAACTTAACGTCAGCGTCATTGTTTCACCAGTCTCTCCAGATTTCAGGTAATTAAGTTTGGAGCATGTCTATTAGTCTCAACCCTCCACCCCTGGGGTACTTTATACTCAAGCAATTCAGTACTAAGGATAAGGAAAACACACTAGTTAAACAAAATACATCTAAAGCACATTGTAAACCAATGGCAGAAGCTGTACATGTATCCATGCTGATCTTAGCGCATCAACAACTACGTTTTTTTATCCTTCACCTATCTTAAACAACTAACACTGATTTTTCTAATGTTAGCTGTAACAATCAACAGTTCAACCTATACTGCAATAGGAGCATTTAAAATTGCGAGTCAAATAAACAGAAATTAAAGTGAACTATATTAGCACAATAGCACCTCCACAGTCCACACCAATAAGGAACTATTTTGGATTTTTAATCATATTTTTTATCACAGGATCGAAGCCTTTGGAGGACCAAAAGAGGTAGGAGAAGCTGTTATCAGAACAATAACTGCTCCCACTCGACGTCCAGATGTGAAGGCGACATTGCTGAGATCAAACCTGAGAGGGGATTCTCTGAAAAATATAAATTATTACGAGTTAGAATTTAGGGTTGAAAGCTCCTCGTTTCAGCGCCATAATGTGACTGTATGTTGTGCCCAAAATGGAAGGCTATACACACTCAACGCACAAGCTCCAGAATCAGCATGGCAAAAAGTGAAAGAAGACTTCTACAAAATTGCTGCCTCGTTTAGTCTAACTTCATAACATATGCATGGAAGCATGTGTATGTACAATAAAGAACCAAAGATCAAGAAACAAATTCACGTGGTTTCTGAAACTAATATAGCTACATTCACAGTCAGACAAAAAATTACTACAGAGTATATGAAATGAAAGACGGAGTGTACAGAATTCAGAATCATTTTGCTAGACTTTACTAAGGATTTTATATGAAATCCAACACACACAGGCCTGCAAAAGAGCCTAAAATTATAGGCTGGAATTAATTCAAAAGATAGCTTTGAATTAACCGGAAGAAATTCAGCTTGTATTCTGATAAGCTGTGCCACAGTGCCGCTGTTCAGCGTTCTCTCTCAGTAGTCATAATTATGAGAAGGAAAAAGGAAACTAGTGGATTTTTTTTTTTATACCTTATATTAAAAAAAATTGGGCAATAATCATACAAAATATCATTTTGCTAAATGTCTAAAATAGAGGATCCATCCAAGAATTGATCCTTTTAAAAATGTTAAAAGCTCAAAAGTTAACAAATTAGCTTCCACAATTTTCATTAACCCAAAGTCCCAGTGTAAGCAAACCTTCTAAAGACCACCATAAAAAACCATGTCAATTAATACACTTGTGAAGCAGTAAATCATGAGTTATGCTGTACGGAAAATTTGTAAACAATATTATGGCTTAAATTCACATAGATTAAATTTTTAGCAATTGCAGACATAAGTGCATGAGCAGCACCAGGAGTCCATACTTTCTTAGTTTCTTCCCTTGTTTATGTAATTAAGCAGGAAGGGCTTTACAGTTTTCTTTTGATGCCGATTCAGATTATTTTAGGTTCATTCAAGTTACATTTTGGATAGTAAAATGATGAACCACCCCAATTATACATCCAAAGCAGCCTGTTCAGTGGTCACTGCTCAACTTCATTATTAAGTCCAGGGTTCAACATTCAAGGCATTGCAGCAAAACATGAAGAAAACAATGCGCAGACTTTATTTGGGGTTCTGTTATGGATACTAGGTTATAGCCCCACGGATACATGCCTGGGTGTATCTAAGAAAGTATATTTTATAAAGCATCTATTTTTAATATTTATTTTGACATAATATAACATTGTGAAGTGTGAATAACATAACACTTTTTTTTTTTTTTTTTTTTTTTTTTTTTTTTTTTTTTATATATAGGATTATGGTTATGCATAAGAAATTTTAGACACTGCATATAAGTCTCATTATATTTGAAGAAAAATTATATAAGTATTAAAATAAGTTGAATAGTCCTAAACTTGAGTTAATCTAGTAAAATTATACATACATATTTTTTTCCTACCGTCTTGCTGGCCAAAGTTCGCCATCTTTGACCTTTACTTTGTAGAATTAATATGACAAGTAATTTATGCATGTTATTGTCGGATATATTTCCAAATTCCAATAAAATATTTTTAAAAATTTCAGTATACATTAAATACATCGGATGTAAAGTTGCCTAAAAATGATCAAAAATTACCCTAATATAAGTAAAAGTTACCCCACAATATAAATAAAAGTTACATATGTTTTATTGATAAAGTCACTCACTTTACAGGACTTTAAATCGAATCTAAGTGAGTGAAAGTAATTATATTAACCTTATAAACTTATCCAATGGCCTACTTACATTACAATCATGTCACGTTTAAAGTTATTCCAAAAAAGGTTAAAAGTTACCCCAAATTAGCTAAAAGCTATCCTAAAACTCTTCGATGTGTGCCAAAAAAAAAATTATGTCAATTGGGTGTACACGAAAGTTTTCGTCTTTAAAAATTAATGTGTACTCATAATAAAAGGGGAAAAATTAGTCAAACTTTGCTCTATGATACCATGGATGGAAGATATTTTTCCCGAACACAGAGTAGCAGGTATAACCAAAATTCATTTTTTGGGATAGGTTATACACAGGTATAAACCCTCTGTGTTGTGCAGGGACAGTAAATCCATTATCCGTGTATAGACACTTTTCTTTTCTTCCCCATTCAAGCCTTTAAAAGAAACTGCCAATTCATACTGATCCAAAAAAAAAAAACCAAAAAAAATTAATTTGCAAGTATACAAACAGAATGAAGCACAAGTTACCAAGATGTGAATAGACACTGGTTCATGCACAGACAGCTTGTCTCTGTCTCGTCATTCTTTCCAGATTCTCTGAAACCACTGCAGTCAGATTACGATCCTCAAACACAAGCTCTGGGCCAAGCCTGCAGAAAAATAACAACATATTATGTTCAAATTTGTAAACAACACACATGCTCTAATTTACACACAGACAAAGCATGCATGGCATAGACTTTCAGAGTTACAGGTAGATTATCAATGTGAATTCACCGCAGTCGCAATCACTTTCTAGATTAAGAAATAGAGCACAATATAATTTAAATTTAAGGATTCCGCTTACTTTGGGTCAAGAACCAGCTTCTGCACCTCTTTGATTGCAGAACTAGCTGCATATAGTGATATCTTTCCAACCTGAGAGCACGAGAAGATGCAATCACTGACATAGAGTGGCTTATTTGTCAATTACATAATAGCAAATTTTATTCGCAACTACATCAGGAATACTGCAAGAATGGTTTACCTCTACCATTTGTAGCTTTGTTGCATGATCATTTGAAAGACAGCGAATTTCTTCTGCCAGTTTCACTGCCTGCTCTAAGCTCTCAGGTGACAAAAAATCAAGACCCAACTGAACCGTGGACTGCAAAGTCACCAAATGAATACAACAAACATCTCACATGTCAGTATAACAACTCAAAAATATCTTGCAGCTTACAAGTTTTTAAGACCAAAGTGTGTTTAAAGGATAACTACTTCTAAACACACAAAAGGCACACATTGGAACACATACACCTCTGCTGATTATGATGACTTATTATTGGCTACTCTATACAACCATTCTGTTACTAAAGCAAAGCAGCAGAAAATAAAAGTTTGAATTTTCATGGACATGATAAGCACCTAATGAAATCAAACGCTAAATAAATACTTCATTGTATTTCCCAAATAAAAAATTCTTGGACATAATGTCTGGTTATTTGCCAAAGAAAAAAATGTATAGACATGACATAAGCTGCTACAGGCTTAAGCAAAACACAAGTGATAATGCAGACAAATCGGATTATGTTCTAAGTATGAGCAAGTATTCATACTTGGACGATATTATTGTCAAAGAAATCATATTGAGAATAGTAGCTTAAGACAGGACCAGGGTACAAAAATCAACCATAAACATTGATGCAAATACCAGCATGATAAAGGTAGAAACTAGCAACTTATCAGGTCCAAAATAAACAGCAAGACAGAGAATGAAATAAGGTATTGGCATGACCAAAGTATCTACCACTAGTACCAAAGTATTCAAATGAACTCACCTGTAGATTTCTTACTTGGAATGGACATCCAGCAGGAACAAACACGGCTTGGCCTAAGTGTTGTTCAAATGACCATGGTTCAACCCCTAAAAAAATGTTATTAACCATGTTATTTATTTGTAATCCTAACTAGCACACCAAATTATTGAGATTTTGTGTAAATCATGCTATTTTAATGGTCAGAGTATCGCAAAGATACAAGTATAGTTGTATAATGACTGGAGAACACAAATTTGGATTTTGCCCAATCATAGTGGTAAAACAAAACCACCATTACACCAGGCACACAAGTAAATATTTTCTCATAACAAATGGACAGAATGAGAAATAAAAAATTGAGAAAAGGGCACAGGGACAAAAACAACAGACGTGAAATAAACCTATGAACCAGTGAGCTAGAGAGCATCAGAGAAAAACAAGTAACAAGAAATGTTGTTATGGGTTGCAGCAAGGAGAGAAGGCTATTGTAAGAGCATGAAATTGTCCATAAGTTACTCAATTCAAGACAGCCACATATGATTTACACCAGAGTAGAAATATAGATAGGTCACTTGAATATTAATTGGAACCCTAGGATCTCATAGAAATATAGCAATCTATGAGAAAAATGATGGAGAATACAAGGAGACACAATAAAGGAGATCACAAGTCTACTATAAAATTAAGCAGAAACAAATAAAGGAGCCACAATCACACATACATCAAGGACCAAGCTAGGAAGAACTACATGAACACGATCACAGAAAGAAGCTAGATGGACAGCCTGACACCAGAACTCCAAACCGGGTATCGAAATTTTCTATCAACACCTTGAGCCGACTGGATCTAAATAACTTTTACACAAATAAGAACAATAACTGATGAGTGATTACAGTATGGGTAGACATTTTCCTTTATGAATGATGTTCTCAGGCCTATGAATATCTCAAAAGCATGAAACTTAGCAATAACAACCTTTTGGATGGGAAACAACAAAGATACAATGCCATTGACGGCAGTTCCCAATTATGCCTAGGTTATAGGCATACAAAGAAGTCAGAAACAAATTCCTCAATTACAGATTCCTCAATGAACAAACAGACTTACCAAATTCCTCGATCAACTTTTGTTTATGGTGATCATTCAGATACACCGCTTCACTATAAAGAGGGCTAGTAACCTAAGATTCCAGAAATTAGGAATATTAGGATAAGATTAAAGTATTTAAAGCTAGTGATTTCTTAAAAGATCAATGTTTACCGTATCGGACTTTCCGAATTCCTCCCAATGGGATCTAAGATACAAAGTTAGCTTTGGAACATCCTCCCGTCGAAAGACATCCCAAATGGCCCCTGGATGTTTGACACAGGAAATTACTCCTTGTTCCATTTGCTCACGTCCAAGATCGGATTTTTGGCATTCGGTATCTTCTATTTGCTCATCTAAATTTATGTCAAGCTTACCCTTATTTACATTTTCCCTATCATCTCCATCAACGGGTAAACTAACTGGAACTTCTTCATTCAAGTCCCTGCATGGATATCCAGAAAAATCTTGCACCTGAGTTTCCCCACAAGCCTTATGTATCTTGGCATTGTTTTCTTTAACTTTCATTTCACAAGAATGCACCAAGAGGTATACCTGCAAGAAGAATCAAGAAACATTGCCACTAACTAAGTGAGAAACATCTCAAACACAAAAGGTTGATTTACATCAGTTTAAATAAAATCATTGATGACCCATGGAATCAAACTGGTTTATGATCTTAATAATGCCATTGTACTCAATAATATAATAAAGCACCCCCTCCCCCACCCCCACCCCCCACCCCCCAACAAAAAAGGTTCTTTATCTTACCCAACTCACCTGCTAAATGATAAGCGTGAGTTTAAGACTTCTTAAAACAAGTTAGAAAGCTCCAGAGAAGGAAAATGTAGAGTAAGTTAGGTAGTGTAGCTGTGTAGCAGCAGCAGCTACAATAAATTTTGTCAAATAATCCCAGAGGTAGCTTTAGGTGACAATCTTGTCAAATAGACACATTGTGAAAGATATATATCCTAATGAGGTGTAGACAGTGATAACAGACCTTTTTAGAAATTGAATAGACCTTTTTAGATAAATATCCTAATGAGATTTAGACAGTGACTCTAGTATGATCAATTTGAATGCTTCCTTATTTCCACAGCCCATAATTTGCTACAAGCCTACAACATTAACAGCGCTCTCTCGATTTCTATTAAGCAACCCTTAAATCAGAAAAATTAAATTGACATAAGAATCCACTTCTCCTAGCATCCAATCAATAAGTTCTATAATTCAAAAGATCTATTGTCCCAAATTACCACTGATAAATTTCAACTCCAAAACATCCCCCCCCCCCCAACCACCCCCAACTCTTCCCTTGTGTACGTTTACGCCGGTGAGGCGGTGACCATAAAACAAGGCAAGACAATTAAACCATTATGCAAATAATGAGGCAATAATTCGGAATGAGCTGCAGAATAAATTTATTAAAATAGTTATTTATTTTTTTATCATCATGGACTTTATAATATATTTTGTCAAATTTCCGATTTATAGTCTTTTTTAGTTGATGGATGTTAAGAGTTTTACATATATATTTGAAATAACTAAATGGAAACAAAAGTAAAATTCCTTTAAGTTTCCTATTTCAAAGAATTCAAAAGGTTCAACACATTGACTTAAAAATAAAGTGTTTACTTCACAGGTTATTTATTTGAATATATTTTTATTTTTTAAGAAAGAATGATATCCAAGCATCAGTTTTAAGAATGGTAACAATAGCTGGTTCAAAATTGCCCTTATTATTACAAGACAAAATATACGGTAATGCAATTATGATCCCTTCTAGATTGTTGCCTATTCAACTTTACTAGAAACTAAGATCATACTGATGAAAACTAGATTAGAAAATTTCTATGGTAAAATATAAAAAGATTGCTGAAACGATAATAAATTATTTATCTGAATGTAAAATTCAAAATTAAAACACAGAGAATGGTTTATAGGATATCTATAATGGCTTAGGCAGTCCATTTGTCTACAAGGCATGACAAATAAGCCTTTTGTCTCGAAGTAGACATTGGGAAGAAACAACCTGCAACTCAAATGATAAATTTTTCTATCTAATATTCTTGATCGTACTTCGAGCATCATGACCATGAAAACAGATACATAAATTTGAATTTATTTGCAAGAGAAATATTTTTATGGTGTCTAACTTGATGTTAAGAGAAATATTGGTGCAGTACATATTTTGCAAGTCCTCAGAGTTCTGGTATATTTAGTTTCTATGAGTTCAAACCATATAGTAGGAATTTAGAACTACAGAGAACCATAGAATATTAGGAATCCTGATTTTTCTGGGTTACTATTTATAGTTTTAGATCTATGACTGACTATACACTATCACCCCTTATCCTTAAACTCAAGGAAAAAACAGAAAGAAATAAAGTATGAAAGACTCACCATATCACGCATGTTCAAATGAAGATTAGTCACTGAGTCACCTCTACCTAACTCTTCAGATAGTCCATACGAGATAAATATCTTAGGTCCAACATCATTTTGTAGGGAATAATGCGGTAATTTTGCAGCAACATTCAAAAGCCCCCACTTTGAATGGATGAATTCAAGAAATGGCACTTTGCTTATAAATTCAGGCCTTTGGTACAAAAAGAACTCTTCAGATGCACTGGGTGATGGCCAATCTTTCAACTTCAACATTTGTGGACTACCATTTTCACGAAGAAGCCCCTCCGAGTATCCTTTCATGAATTGCCCAAGTTCTATATCAACCTGTCATCAAGAGAGGCAAGTATGGTCATGATTCGACCAAGCAATCACAATGCTGACACTTAGAAAAAATAGTTTTTAATGATAGATCTTCAACCAAGTACGACAGAAAAGTGAAGCAACTACCATGTTGCAGATCAGCTATGAAATAAACCAATAATACGCAAGGCGTAAGAGAAAAAATGGCCAAGTAGACCAACCCTATTGCATAGTACAGCTCAATAGGAAAATTCTACAGCAAAAGGACTTCTTTTTCTCTTCCAGCTCCAAAGCCCACAATAATAGATACAACTCACAAGATACCAATCCACAAGAACGGAATTCTTACACTGAGCACGTTAGATTCTAAAACACCAGGTTTGTGTTGCAAACCAGGTCCATGCACCTTCAATTCATATTTGTAAGTTGGCAAATTCAATCAGTCAATCACTTTGAAAGTTCACATGGCAATATGGCACTAAGAATCAATATTTGTCTTAGGTTGGTAACAATTTTGAGAGCTTTTAGAAGTTTGAACCTCATTAGACTTTTGAGCAAGAGAGGCCTCTGAATATTTTGTTTGGTTGGAAGATTTTTAAATCAGAGAGATTTCTTCAAAATGCTATTTTTGAAAAGCTCAAGAGAGAGCATTTTGACAGGAGAGGTTTGAAAAAATTTCAAAAAGAAAAGCCTGTCTCTCCTCCTTCAACATAATTTGGCTGTCTTTCTCTACTACACCATAAACATACCACACCGTGATTGAAAACAAAGGACAACATAAAAAGCCAGCAATAAATCATTTTTACACATCAGATTATAATAAGATCTGAAGAATAAAAAAATCAAACTTGGAAAAAGAAACATGTACATTGTAATAAAATCCACAAAGATGCTCTAGAAAATGAATAGCCATGATTATAAGAAATCTAAATAAGCAACCACAAAATAAAATTAAAAATACTACGAGTTAAAATTGCTCCAAATAGCTCAAATTTGATAGTGTTGAGTTCCATGCAATTGGCCGAAAATAAATTGAGGCAGGAGGGTAATTGGTACTTGATCTGATTAATTGAATTTCACTGAGTTTTTTTCAGAAAGATGACACGGTGGTGTACATAATATTGAGATGGTAGAGCATAGGAAAAGAAAGATAAATTGATATTTTTCTTTTGATCAAGAAGGAATAATAAAAAAAAAATGGCTTATAGAAGCAACTAGATTAATCAGTTACATAAGAGTTGTTTACTAAGGGAGGGCTGGCGGGTAATGTAGATATGGAATACTAGGCTAGAACCTAGGAGTATGAAAGGTTGATTTTTCCCCCTTTCTTAGTGTAATTAATGGCCTTATGGGCTAACTGTGTTTACGGTTAAAAAATAGTGACAATTAACATCTCAACTTCTTTTAAATTTTTACAAGAGATAAAAGTAAAAGTACTCCCCTTGTCCCTAAAAAGATGTTCGCATTTAGAATATTCAATTTAAAGGCGGATACTTTGACCTCGGGTGTTCATTGATACATATAAGAAAAACATATTCATTCGTGTAAAATTTTGTTAGATTCGTCTCGATGTGTAGTTTCAAAATATTAATATTTAGTGATGTTTTATAATACTTAATTCAAGATATTGATGCTCAAGTATGTCATGCATTAGAAGTGGGAACATCTTTTAGGAACAAAGGGAGTACTACCCAACAATATATTGTGTCAATGAACTTATTGGTTAGACAATCTAGTAGCTAGCAACTTACCGGACACGTTAAACAAACAACTAATACAATAGCTAGTCAAACCAGCTCATTGCCAAATAGGGCTATGATATTTTCATACACCAACAATAAAGCCACGCTATTGCAGAAACACAACATAAGCATATGGTTTAACCTTAATTTCACTTAAGTCTAATATGCTATGATACTACCTCCGTGCTCCATCCCTATATAGTTGACATACTTTGACCAACACAAAGTTTTAAACATATTATTGTGTGATGAAAGGTAGTGGGTATTTTTTCTATTACAGCTAGTGGGTAGTGGAGTATAATTTTACATTAGCTATTAGTTTATAATAATTAGTGGATAACAGGTAAAAAGCAATGTGAGAGAAATTAAAAAGAAAGAAAAAATCGTGGATCCACTTCAATTATAGAAAGAAATAGAAGTATGTCAAATATAGAAAGTCACCTGAATAAGAAAAGTGTATCAACTAAATAGGGACGGTATATTAGTTAGGACCACAAGTTAATATAATACAGATAGTATAGGTTGGCTCCATACTTGTACATTATCTTCACTTATTTCAGGCCAAATATGTTCTAATAAGATAAGCACTATCCAGTTCAAATTCAGATAAAATAAGATAAGTGATATTCAGGTGAAGATAACACTACCTAAAGTAACAATTTGACCTGTCAAACTAACAAATGTTGCATTGCATTTGGTTAACATTTGAGGAAAGTTTGCAAATGAAGTCATGTTTCAAATGGCTATCAAATATTTTACCAAAACCAGTTAAATATGAAAAGCATACCTCAGACCAGTCTAGACAATCAACAGCTTTCACCATTTTACTAGCATCATTCATCCTCTCATCAGTAGATTCACAAATCTCCCTCCATATAACCATAGGGTCCCAACTTGTGCTTGATGAACCATCACAGACCTGCTTAACAAGGACAGGTTCACCCTTCGCCCAATGTTTTCGGAAGTTTACAACGCCATCAAGTTTAATGTCTTGAGCAGATGGACAATATAAGAAATTGTCATCACTCTCCTTACGTGATGCACATTCAAGGAACCTAGAGCTAAGTGATCTAGAGTCTGAACAGTTACTAATGCCTTTAACCTTGCAACCACTAACCATTTCTTCAAGATTTTTTACCAGTTTAGCAACCCAATTCATCTTGAAAATTCGCCGAAGAGTTAGATAAGAGCAACCACAACCACCATGTTCCCTCGGAAGGCAAGGTACACTACCATCTATACTTGCTCTCCAACCAGGAAACTTCACACTTAGCAAAAGATTATGGTTTGGTGAAGCTTGAACCTCTCCCAAATGATTTTTCTCAGAGTTATTATCGTCCACTACATCATCTTTTGCAACAGCCAGAGTTTCACTACGAAGATCTTGACAGCATCTGAGGCAAAGATCATACGAGCAAGCTGAGCAGTGCCGGTGATAATCTACAATTGGAACTCTGCAGCAATCACTATCAGAAAACATTTTCAATTACTCATATGTACCACATACCATTTCAAAATAGGCATCACCTAATTAACAGAAATTATATACCCACAAGGCCACAACATACTTAGAAAAGGTTGGACAGCAAATATAAGGTAGTTTCTGAAAAAAATTGTTAGATCATCAATTTCCACAAATCAAACCAAGTAGTATATAAGATATCATGAGTACCAGCACATCTGCTCATCTGCATTCAATTTCGTCCTCTCTAGATCCACTTCGGCTCCTGAAGAGCACATCCATATAAGAATAAACAGCATATACTTCAGCAACAATAATATACGAAATGTGTGGCACAAAAATATGAAACAATAAACTTCTTACCATGTAGCTTCTTCTCTAAATCCACTTCAGCACACTGTTGCTGGTGGATCTCCTTAACCACAGGAAGCACCGACGATAGCAAGCAATAGAGATATTGTAGCTTGTCCAGCACAGGTATATCCCTTATTTTTGCCTGCAACAACAGCAAAAAGGTAATATTTGCAATTTGATAAACTAGAATTGTTATAACAACCAAAGTTTACTTGCAAATAAACTAGAAATGTTATAATAAAATGATGCAATATCATAGATGCTATGTAGCTGACATTTTACCTTAATCAAGTTATCCACCCTGGAGCACACCTTACAATTGCACATACCGCGACATGCAGGGCAAACTCTTTGGATCTCTTCCAAAGAAATGTTTGCATACCTAACACAAGTGTGGCTAGTCAATAGTCATGCACCAACACCATCAAGGACTAGAAACATCTAAGAGAGTAAACACATTAATCTCACCATGTACTAATGCAGCTTTCACAATATCCTTTTCTATCACATTTATGGCACCAAATAACTGAAACTTTGTTACTCCTTCGACACTGATGGCAAGTAAGTCCACCGGTGTCATTTGTAGAATCTGTGCTAGCATCAGAATGAACCTAGAGACCAATATGGAATTCATTATTGCAAACACAGTGATGAGTGAATGTATGGCCAGGAAAATAAAAAAAAATTTAGAAGTACAAGCATAGTTTCTCATGATTGATAAAATTGCAGCATGATTTATAGAAATCACAGACATTTTTACAGAAACATGTTAGTCCAACTTTTACTTCACCTTAAGCACAAGTGTCAAATATTCAGCACTTGCCACTCGGATATTGGTATGACACTTAAGACACTTCATTTGTCCGGCACTTATAGCCAAGTATGAATAACATAGGCCACCAATAGATTATTTCTTAGGAAAAAAAACAATAGATCTCCAAGACTACTAGAGCGAATAAAAAGAAAAGATATTCTACCTCACTAGTAACCATAGCACCATCATCAATGCTCTTCTGTGACATGTTCCTTGAGGATTCTATGCCATAAGGAGTGTAAGACCTTCGACTATGATCATAATGATCCAAGTCTTTTTGCATATCATCCTCTCCATTGGGCGGCATCCGATCCTTGTGATTGTTTGGGAAACCTGAAACAGGAAAATCCTGCACTTGTAGTGACATATCCTTGTTGTTATCGTCACTTCTACTCTCCATATAAATAGGACTTCCAGTTTCACCCATAGATTTCCTCTTAGCTTTCTTTAAACTGGCTCGTAACGCAGAATTTGCTGCTCTCTTCTTCGCCTGAATGTAGTGCTTCTCACATACGGTTTTATCCGGCATAGACATTGCTGTACACCTCCATTGTTTACCATCCGACCTCTTACAACGCAAATCATCAGGAATACCCACTTGATCATCCATTCTAACACTTCATATATCCTCTAACAACTCATTAACTTACAACATCTATCACAACCTACACGAAACCGTCCAACATCATAACCATCCAAGGATTCGAAACGAATTTGAACATTTAATTGAGCTTGCCAGTGCATAAATTAACTAAAACGAATTCCAAATAATTCCGAAATTTAATTTGAGCTTGACAATGCATAAATTTAACCCGAACAAAGTACAAATACTTCCAAATTAGTTCCGAATTTCTAATTAAAGCTTGCCAATGTTCAAAATAACCAAAAATAAATTAAAAAGAATTAAGAAATTTTGTTTGAGCTTGCCAATTTATAAATTATAACCAAAATAAATTCGAAAGAATTCTGAAAGTGTATTTGAACTTGCTATTGTATGAATTAACCATAATAAATTCGAAAAATATCTATAATTTAATTTGATTTTGCCAGTGTATAAATTAACAAATATTAATTCAATCATATTCTGATGAAATTGCTGAATACTACTGTATAGTTAATCAAATTAATGTAAAAATTAACCAAAACAAAAATCCGCAACAGTCGAGTAATGAAAAAATATAATCCGTAAGATGAAAATTACTTACATAGTGAATGATTGAGTTCAATTTCTGGAAAAGTTTGAATATGCCCCCAATTTCGTTCCTCTGAATTTGATATATTGATCCTCTGCTCTTCAATTTGGGGAAAGTAATGGGAAGAGTGTACAATCTACGAGTCTACGACTCTATGGGTAATTATTCTATTGGGGTTTATTTTTTTTCTATTGGGGTTTATTAACCGCAATAATTCTAAATTTTAACCATGTGCAATGGATGATTTTTTTGTTGTGGGTGTTAAAACTGATTCAACCGATCCGCATCGATTAAATTAGAAAAAATAATAAAAACATTGTTTTATATTTCAGTTCGTTTGAACATAATTTGAATAACTCTGGCCCAACCTTACCAAACCCAAATGATGTACCTGAATTGACACCTTTAAGGCTCCAGCCTCCAAGGGTTTGTTTTCTCTCTCCCTCTCTCTCTTTCTCTCTTCTAACCCTTTCCCTTTCTCTCTTTCCGTTTTTTTTATTAATGAAAGTTACTTAAAGCCATGGCATGGATGTTCCACATACTTGGTAGGCTCCTAGAACGCAACAAGCTTAGTATGCCAAGTCCAAACCCCTTTTTGGATTATAGATTTTTTTTTTTTTTACAACGATTAGAAAAAAGGCATAGGCCTCGAGGAACTTGTGATAACAACTCAAACAATGAAAATTAAGGAAAAACAGTTTACTTACGAGGTTGACCTAAGCACATGTCAATTTATTCCAAGTTTCCTTCTTTGTAAATTTACTTACTAGGAAATAGATTGTGAGTTTGTTTAATTTCAAAGCAATATCTAAGTTTTTACATTGTTGATCAAGCACGTTAAAAGTGAAAGCATGAAAACTTGTTTGGTTGACAGTCAACACTATAGAAAGTGCACTTGTAAAGCGCTCATATGAAATAAGAAATTTTACTTCCCACAAAATGAAAGAAGTTGTTTATAGTTTACCTAAACTTCCTAGATAATTGCAACTTTCCATGATATGTTGAAATTACCACCAACCAAACAACTTGAAACAATTCATGTGAATTCCTTGACAAAGTAAGATGTTAGGAGATAATAGTTATTATGATCAACCAAACAATTACTTATACAAATGTGAAATCTGGGAACCAAATACTATTATGAAGATAGACTAACCAAACAACTTGTAACCATAACGTATGAATTTTTTGAACAAATAAATGTGTGCCATGAAATAAAACTTCTTATGTTCAACCAAACAACCACTTATACAGAGTATTAAAATGAGTGAACCAAATACTCTTAGAATACAAATAAAATTTCGGCTAATTATTATAGACTCAAAGATAAAAAAACAATTGAAAGATTGAATAAAGCAAAAAGAATTTTGTTAGGAAAAGTCAATAATTGATCTAAACATATATAAACTTGTAATTTGTAAAGTTAGAAGTATAAATAAAGCTATAAAGTTCAACAAAGATGATGGGATAGTGCAATTAAAACTATAAACAACTGAAAGTTAAGGCTTGCAAGTTGCAAGTCTTTGCAACTTAATTTAAAAAACAAAGCATTAAACTCATAAATAAGCTCCCATTTCTCTTTGTAGTGACTTATAGACAAAAGCCACACACACAAACACAACTGAAACAACTTATTGACGTTATTGCGCTTAAACAATTCAAGCACGAGGCATACAACGTATTTTCCTTCATTGTTTTGTAACGGAATTAAAAGCCAACAATTTATTTAATTTATCTTAACAACCACCTTAATAATATAAGTCGCCCAATTTGAGAAAAAGAAACTTATGATTTGTGAATTTTTGTCCTAAGTGGATGTTTTGGCTTAATTTTTTTTGTAGGAAGATGAAGCACTTAGATGATATTATTAGGTTCAACGTAGTGGGTCTGCTGCGAGTGCTACCGACTATTAAGCACGAGCTTAATTCACAATTTTTATTATACACCTTAGTAATATGAAAATAGGTTGCAATGTTACATTGGTATACTCAAAGTAGTATAATAAAGTATGGTTAATTACACATCACATCAATATAATGCGACATATCTCTTAGTTTTGGTCAAATAGAAAATACCTTTTGCACATTTCCGGTTCATTATTGAATGTGTATCATTCATGTGGTTTCAAAGAATAATAAATTAAATAAAACCTTCGTTAAATATTTGTCGTAAGTGCATGATTTGGAAGATGTACATCTTATAAGAGAATATGAGGTTCAACTTAGTGATTCCATATTTCTATTAAGTGCTACCAACTTTTTAGCTTGAGTTTGATTCTCATGAAGTTCTTGATCCACAACTTCTATTATACACCTTGGTACATCTAAACATAGATTACGATATAACATATGTATACTCACAATCATATCTTAATCTTATATACTATGACTATAACTCACATCATAACATTATTTGCCAACTTAAACCTTTCGCATTATTTTCAATTAGTAGTTGAATGCGTATAGTTTATATTTTTTTGAAGAATAATAAAAATCTTCCTTATATACACCTTTAAACTATAAGAAATTTTCAAAGTTGCCCTCACATTTAGGTAACTAGCTCACTCCTAAAGATCAATTCACCAAACCTTCATTACAATTTTTATTTTTTTAAATAATAATAAGTAAAGTGACATTTCTTATGTAGGGTCCACAACCCCTAGGAGCATTAGTATTTATAAGTGGAACTAGACGTCTGATAAGATGGAGCATCGTACCTTACTTTCATAGTCATAAGCACTAAACAACTAAGCATAAACCCACCACTAACTCACCATTATCAAATCATAAAGCAAGACAAAGCCTAATCTGTAATTTAAAAAGGAACAAGCACAACCATTTCTCCTCTTTCTATCCCAAGTTTCTCTCCTCTCTTTGCAAAACTAGCTACACCACCATCATCCAGTGTCCAAATAGAAATCGGGTTCTCAAGCCGTAGTACTTCTTGTAAGATGTCGCGAACATTCATGGCTTTGAGGGAGCATGTTCTCACCAAAAGGAAAAGCCCAAAGGTTGCTGATGAAGCAATGTTTGGTAATGGGATGGGCACCATAATGCCTATATACGCCGATGAGGTGGAACAAAATAGGCAGCCTTGGAATGGTTTATTGGTTTTTTATACCATTGTTCGCATCCCCTTTTCTATCCTTTCTTGCTTCTCTAAACGGCATGGAAACACAGCTGATAGAACGTGGGTTACCGGAGATACGATGAGAACATCAGAAATCGATCATCTTATGGTAAGTGACAGCATGCGCTATGCAATCTTGATGTAGTTTCCACCTTTTGTAGTACTGAAACTTGCTAGAGTATGTGTATATATTTCAGCAGATAGTCATGAAAATAACTTACCAGTATGTGTATATATTTCAGCAGATAGTCATGAAAATAAGAAAATTATCTGAAGGCTCTGTTAGCTTTTACGTTGCAGAATTTAATTCTTGCAGTAATAAAAATACAAACTCACTAGAGATCCTATGACGGCTCTCTTTACACAAAGAGTAGTATTCTGTATTCCCCCCATTCCATATTATCTGATCACTCGACTAACTTTTATCATACAGTATTATACGCCACTTAAGATACCACACAAAGTTAAACAGCAGTGAATATGGAACACAGGGAGTAAAAAAGCGTAACAAAATTTGTCAATCCGTATCAAGTAAATAACACGTTCCATCCCAATTTGGAATCAGAATGACTACAGGTACAGTGCACAGAAAATCCTTCATATTTCAATCATATGAGTTCAAAATTTAAGCAAATTGTCAAGAACGAACCCAATCATCGGCACTTATCAGGTAAAGTATTGGCAGATATGATTTATGCTGTTTTCCCCTGGACCCTGTGAGGATGACAGTTTAACTAAGACATGATTCCATGATCTGGAGCATCCACTACTCTTCTTTTAGATAAACAGTAAAAAGTGCTTTAAGCTAAAGCTAAGATTCCTTAACTTAGAAACACAACATAAATTAGAGTAAGCATATGAATCATACCTCACTAGCGAACCGTGTAATCAGGATGTACATGCCTTCATTAACAGATTCTCCTAATTTCTTATATGTGAAGATAAACAAGAAGAAATATCTACTCTTCAATGAGCAAACATCTACAAACCCCTCGTTATAGTGCGTTGTTCTTTCCTGCTTTAAGAAAAAAATATCTGAGCAGTAACATGTTTGGAAAAAGAGTATTTTGAACAAGCAGAGTTGCAAGGCGCGACAATTTGATGCGACAGATTGAAAATATCATTGCTTTTGAGATACAAAAGAATATATGAAGAGGATGCTTCAGGTAAACTAGTGAACAGAAATCAATTGAGGGTTTAGCATTATGAATACACTTATTTCCAAATTAATGTAACAAAATTATTCGTTTGCAAATCTTTTTAAGAGCAACCAAAGATAAGCATGTTATTTAAAAATTAGATATATGCAACTTTGTATGTACATCTATATTACAGGAATAAAGACCTTGTATCCTCCCTTAAATGATAAAACAAAAGCAAATAGCAACAATATCCACATATGATAAGTTCTGATATCCATTATAACAATATTCACTTGTGATAAGCACCTTAATTCAAAGCATTTCAAGCGATATTGAGCATTCACAAGATTTAAAACAAGTCTCCCCTTCTTCAAAACCCCTTCCGCTGTTATACATAAAACGTAAATCCACAGAAGAAGTTTAGCTTCCTGGTGATTTTAGGAAAAATCTCAGCAGTCAGCAGTCCTCCAAATATGACCATTGACAGCTTCAACATGACAGAAAATGTAATTATGCACATCAAAATGCCATGCTGTAAGCTCCATTGAAGCTGTCTGCACATTTGTTTGATAAAACGTTATCTTAGCAAGCCTGTTCTGAAATAATCATCTTTACAGTTACAGCCACTCACAGGTCACAAGGATAAGGGCTAATCTAAAAGATAAGGCGAGCATGACAAAAGCGTCATAAAGATCAAAGATGTAAATGATAGGACAAAGTTCTAAACCAATCATTGCCACTATGGAGGCCAGTCCTCTAGTCCGGCAATCATTGAACTTTGGCTATGTTGCCATAGTATTACTATCAGTGTTTCATCTCTTCACTTTTCCACTGTAAAATTAAGCGATAAAAAGTTCAGATGGTGGGGAGAGATGTGTAGTTTCTACATCCTTTTTTTTCCCCTTTTACAACTTTTTTTTTTCTAGGCTGCTAGCAATATAATTACTTTATTTATTCTGATCAAATCAAGCAACACAGATAAAATTCATATTTCATAGCAACCTAATAAATAAAAAGCATTTCTCCAGAGAGAGAGGTCTAAGCTAACTCTTACAATAATTTCCAATTACCGGTATGCACTCTACATGCCAAAATAAGGTAGCCAGTGTAAAATTCATAGTTTACTCCATTGATGCATTCGAAATTATTTTCAGTGAAGGTTAACTTTCTGCCATATTATACAGTGGGGTTCAAACTTCAAACACACAATCTAGAATTGCACCAAGCATATCCTAAAGCCTTTTGAAAAAAGCAAATAAGTTAAAAATTAAAAGCAAACTCGAGGTACAATAGCACTAAGCAAACTGAGGTTCCATCGAAAAGCACTGAGACATTGCAAGGCAACTTTCAAAGCTTTGATTCTTCTACCTTTAACTTTAAAGGGTGATTTTCCAAATGTTAAACCTGATACCCTTCTTTACTTCAAATCATAAGAAACATGTCCGAAAACGACAGAATTAATAAAGTAAATCATCAAGTATCAGTGGCAACCAAAAGAGCCTTTAGTATGATCATTTCTACTTCTTTGATTCTTTCTTGCCTTCCTTTTGAAGAACGGTGTTGAAAGGGGATAGGGATACCTAAACATCCACTCTTCAGTCTCCACCAAAAAGAGGCAAGAAATAAACAAGTGGAACCTTTATGAGAAACACCTGATTGATCTGTACTTACCTTGGAATATCATAAGGAAATTCCACAATGATGCCATATCTTAACTGAGCGGCCACAATAATATATTAAAAGTTAATAGCATACACATTATTAATGCAGACTTCCAAAATGATAAACATACAAGAAAACATGCAATTGCAACTGCTTGTTCATTAGACACTAAATGAAAACAACTAGTATTCAAGGTCAGAAGTTGTCCTAGCAGAGTGAACATTTGGTTATAATAATAAAATAAATAAATTGAGTGTCTTACCTTAAAACAACTAAACATAAATTACAATAGCAGGAACAACTCTGATTCCTGAATAACAGCATGTTCAGAATCGGCAGATTGATTGTTATAAATTGCAAAATGTACTCCCTCCATCGCTCTGAGATTGCCCCAGCTCCTGCGTGATCACCACTTTACTCTCACATACACTACTTTAAGTCCAATCAATTTTCTCTTATCGATTCCACCCAACTAAAACTTTAAATAAAAAAAAAACAATTATACTCTGATGGGGCAATCTTAGAGTGATGGAGGGGGTATAACCCTATAATATAGGTTCAAAAGATCCATATTACTCAGGACTGTCAGGAGTCTCCTCAATCTTGTAGCCCACAGAACAGGGGGTTAAATCATCATATTCTTTGGAAGAGGACAACAGATAACCTAAAAAGATACACCACAAATGGCAAGAGTTCCAGCTGCTATAACATGGTCCTTAGTTTTTTCCCTATGCAATTCCAAGCATCTAGTAGATAGTGAAAGCATGCATTAGTTCTCAAGAGTGTGAAAATAGAAAAACGTATATTTTCACAGATATGTGGACACACACACACACACACACTACACAATTCCCAGCATCTACCTGATAATGAAAATCTGTATTAGATATTTAAATCTCACGAGTATAAAAAAAAATAAAAAAAAATAAAAATAAAAAAAAAGAGAAACATATATGTTCGTAGAGAAGTGGACACAAATCGCTCACATATGCAGAAACACAAACACAGAGCCATATAAACTAAGAGATAGTGAAAAAGGATGTCAGAGAATAAAATCCTCTCTGAAGAACATATATATCTGTATCATAAATTTATTGGACTGTAATATGGGAGAGAGTAGAAGTAACTATAAGCAATTTGAGCAACCAGTGTTTAGGGATCACCCTCTCCAAGACTCCAAGGTCAAAGCGCAATAGAATATGGCATAATTAAAAAAAAGTAAGTTGTATTGAAAAGTATGAAAACAAACATACCTTTATACTATGTGCATCCAAAGCTCATCAAATTAATAGAGAAGCAAAAAAGTTCTTGACATAATTAAAAAACCCACTCCAGAACAGATACAACCACCAGGAAAACCAATGTATAAATCCAGATCAAGGAGCAGGAGCATATAGATTTCAGCTAACGAAACAATCAGCCACATGCTCGGTTATCTGGAGTGCATATATAACAATACCACCTTCCAGCTCTAGCTACGCAAATCTTCAAAAGCTAATAAGCATTCCAGATATTGAGACTTAGTTGAGGATGAAAACCAAGAATAATGCATTTAGCCAATTATCAATCTTCCCAATTTCACAACTCAAAGCACTAGCTCCTAAAAATTACAGTATAACATACATTATAAAAGCAATGAAGACATCTCAAAAAGGAATGCACAATCAATAAGAGCAAAGTGCTAGGGTTGAGCTACTGCTCGATGAGGCCTGGGAGCACAAGAATTTCCACATTGATAGAAGATTTGAAAAAGAGAAACTACTTCTGATGCCCTTATTCCACCAGTACATTTAAAACCACTTATTCCAGCATTATTTGATTGTGTGTAGCTGGTTGTATGCAGTGAAAGAATTGAACCACATCCTCCAAACTTTTCATTTCTACATCCGTAATACACTTCCTTTAGTCCAAGGTATGACAAGGCACTAGCACACATTATGCATGGCTCACATGTTACATAGAGGACACACTCTGATAATCTTTTAGCAACTTCAGATTGCAAAATACCATCTCTTTGCCATTGCTGTAGAAGGCCATTGACAGCTTCCATCTCTGCATGCCTTGTAGCATCTCGTGTCTCATTAGTACGATTACTGCCTGCTGCAATGACCTTCCTATTCTCGACAATTACACAATCAACAGGTACTTCAATTCTGCGAAGAGCAACTTTGGCTTCCTGTATTGCCAGCTCCATAAATGCATCAGAGTTGATAGGATCTTCAGGCTCAACCAAAGCCATCATCCGTGGCTCATGTAAGATCCAGTTCTGATTATTACAGCTCCAAGATGACAGCGGATAAAGCAAGGAGATCTTTGGTTAAGAAGGGAAATCCAATTACAGGAACTAGATTCCTCATGAAAAGGAGACAAGGCGTTAAGCTTCTATATCCAAAGAAAAACACATGAGAAAGAAGTACCAATATCAGAATCCCGATAATCACAAATAAAAAAACAAACTACCTAGACCAAGGACCAAAACATGAAGAGCAATAATACATTAAAGAACATATCTTTCTTTGATAACTAATGTCAAGCATAAGGCTCATTTGAGAGGGGGGGGGGGGGACCCAAAAACTCTGCCTGTACATTAGAAAATGACCACACAGTATACAGAGATCTGTAGC